TGGAGGATAAAAAAATTAAGGACTATGAACAGAAAGAGGGAGGGTTGAGAAAAATTAGAAAAGAAAAAGCAGAATACAAGAAAGTGAAAACAGAAGCATATAGAATAAGATAAGCAGAGAAGACAAAAGCAAACATTAAAACGAAAGTAACAAGAAGTAGCAACCTGGCTTAGACAACAAAACTACCATAAGTTATAACTCATATTTTAATACTTTATGTAAACTAACTTTTATAAAAGGTTTAACTCGACCATGGAAAATGAATTTATATTATGTTTAAATTATCTAATTATCTATTTATACTAATTGATCCATCTTCGTAATTAACAGGGACACATCATTGCCAAATCTAGATAACAGCGTTTATCCGTCTCGTGTGATTTATCACCACAAGCTTGCACATGTCTCTTTTAGATCATCGCGACGTCAGAGTCGAGGTTTCCCAATTTGGCGCTCGCAGCCCCTTTGGTAAATCTGTCACTGCTGCAGTCCATCGGTTATCGATCGTAGTCTGAATTAAACCACACGAAGCGGACTGGAGGACAATTCTGTTTGCGCTTTCCATTTCACATGATTTTAACAAATGGTTCTTATACTGTCAGAGCTTGACAAACGCCTAGAGCAGAATTTTCGCGTGCCTTTTATCCCGGCTGAGTAGGGTTCGACGTGACGGCTCTGAGACAGCCTATTTGGAGATTTCCACGGTGGCTTCATCTCTGACAGTTCTCCTCCGCAATACAGAACGCCGCCTTATCTCGCGGACGATTACCTTACAGTGGAAAACGCCAACCTCCCATTATTCAGCTAGATTTCTGAAATTTCGACTGTCAAAGGATATTTTTCATTTCTTGACAAAATATTTTCAATCTAGCTAACCGCCATATATTGCTCGAAGAAAAAAAAGTCCAGTCCATCCAGACTATCGAAGCATCGTTGGGTCAGGCGGCATCGAGGCTTATGAAAGACCCTTACCGCTACCACAGCGGCTAAGCAATATGTACTCCAACGTAAATCACCCTTCCTGTCATTCCGGATTTTGTCGGTTTCAAACCACAGGTAAATCGAGGACGAACTATGAAATTATTACACTTTATATAAGGATAAAGATATACAGACATAACCCTAATTACAGCAGTTTTCTTGCGCTATTTTTTTAGCATGACTAAGGACGCACAAAGAAAATACTCACACTCACACAGAGATTTTCACTGACTTCTTTTCACCTTTCGGAAAGCAGACAGGAATTAAGTTATGGAAAAAACACTAAACAGGAGAAAGTCTAACCGCCATTTTTTTACAATACCGCCGTAGGTTTTCGAACGCATCAAATGAAACCCCTGGGTCTTGAACTTGATACAGTTTACCGTTTTACTGTCAATTTCTGACAGCTTAACTTGCATTTTAAGAGAGCATTACAAGAGAAGTATTATCATCCGGTTCATGAGCAGCAGGTCATTTGGCCCCACTTAATGAGGATGGAGATTCGAATCAAAGTGTGGCAAAATTATTTTCCTATTAACTCTTTTGTAACTCTTTTAAGGAAGGAATTTAGTGTCACTCAGTATTTTCGAACGGCCTTTCAGGTAAAAAGATTGAACAGCTTGTCGAATCCAAAATATGGAAT